TTTGTTTTCGCAACTTGGTCATATTGGTAGGAAGACTTAGAGGAACGCATCTAGTCCGGATCAGATTGCATGCATCATAATTTCCAGAGTAGGACCGTGGACGTGGTACATTCCCAGACGTTTCGCTGGCATCGTAGTTGGTATCGTCAGTGAGTCTTGCCATTCGTAGCACCATCCGAATGTTTAAAAAATCCTGGGTCTTGACTAAATTACTCATTATTGACCTATATTGCATTTAAGACTAAAAAAATATTGAGTTTGAGGCTTTTATTACAAAATCTGCTGTGTTACCTTTTCCACTTCAGTGAGTGCGCACTATCCTTATAACTAGTTTCCTCCTTTCGCGCAGGCCTATTGTACTTTGTACATCGGCAAATAAATAGTCCCAAAATACAAATACATTCATATTCCTAATGCATTATTGAGTTTTTAAAAATCTAAACTACCAGCAATACCACGACATTTGTGGATTGGTACACAAGCAACTAGGGCATGGCAAGTCATAGACTTGGTATTAGAGATAGAAACAGGATAGACGAGGCGATGATTGGAGCTAGTTGGCTGATTTAGGTTTTACGAGAGACGTGGTCCATGTCGCAAATGCATGGCCATGAGACTTACTTTGAGGCTTTAGCCTCTAGTCAATCACCCAGGTTCAGGGGATGGACGAATTACGCCTCAATAGCACAGATGGGGGGAGGGGTCGAGTAAAATACATGTACCAGGGAGATAGCAGACGGATTCTATGGGGCACGAGGGAGACTTTTATAGGACCCAGTGAAGGACTACGTAAGAATATGACAGACTCAGGTCAACATTCCCAGCACAAGGATGAAGTAGTGATAACGACAGTGTGGAGTGTGAAGGGTTTTCATAAATGCCGCTCGAAGGAGGACACCACACTACATTAAAAAAAGCACAATACAAATTGTGGCAGGGAAGACATGATAGTAGGATATAGGAAATGTGAATAGTTAGGGGCAGAAGGGGAGAGATCATAAGTGTTTAGCACACGTTTAGTCAAAGGATGGGCTTCACTTGTTGTATGGTGCTAAGAATGGCGATGCTCACTGATGATGCTAACTACGATGCCGGTGAAATGTTTGTGAATGTACCACGTCCACGGTTCAACTTTGGAAATGATCATGCATACAATGGACTCCAGACTAGGTGCGTTTCTCTAAGTCTTTCTACCAATATGACCATGTTGCGAAAACAAGGACAAACAACCTCTATACAACGAAAGGAGACTGCGACCACACAAAGGGCCACACCATCTTGGTCTTCATACCTAAGATTTTTTATTATTCTTTCTAGTGTGATTTAAGCAATTATTGGTGAAGCTATTGCTACATATATATATTTATATATTAGCCAACCATTTTTTTCTAATATATTTCATATCTCCATCTATTTTATTTTTCTTTCTTGTTATTTAATCAAGGAACAATTGAGGGTCATAGTTCTGGTATCTTGGGTAGCAATATTGAATCTTCTGAGCCGTTCACTCTCACAGACACTGCTCTTCTTCAGGCCATTCCTGCTTCTTTCTCTCCTGTGCCCTGTTTACATTCAACAACCTCACTAAATGGGTTTTCGCTATTTACTGCCACTACCGCCAGCTCCAGCTCAACAGTTAGCTCGGCGCCCTCACACGCGCCCTCACATACAAATACAAGCTGTCCCGGCTTTCTACCTGCTTCAAGCATTTGCTCCTCTACCATCTCCAGCGCCAGTACCATGACCCCCATATCTGGATCTACGGTGGTAACGAATTCGGCTGCCGCAACACCGCTGTTTGCCTCTTTTCTACCGCTTTCGCAGTGTGAGACACAACTGGCACAAACTGGACTTTTGATGGTCACATTGGATCACTCACAACCCATCCAATCATCTCCATCACCCGATGTTTCAACGTCGCCGAGAGCATTAACAACAAGCGATAGGGGCTTGCCTGAGGAACAGGCTGAGCGATTTGCTGTCAGAGCTGGGTCCTCATCACTTGATAGAAACTCTATCACTACTTCGAACATTGCTTCATCTCATTTTGTGACACCATTTTCTCTTCCAACAAGCTCTTCTGACAATAGCAGAGACCCTGTCTCCAATTGTTCGCCTTTTGAAGAACGTTCTCTCCTTATAGACGTGGTTTCGTTAGATGACGACGAAAATGAGCTCACAGGGGGCCTACAACCTTCATGGCGGGCCTCAGTTTCTGGCGCTTATTCAACTTCAGGGCAGTACTCTAATTCTATTTCTACTGACCTCATCTCATCTGTATCTCAAGTTGCGGATACAAGGTCCGAATCACAAGAGGAACTCGGCACTTGCCAACTGGACACGGTATCTTCAAACACGGACTTAATCACCAATCTCCAAGCTGATCCTTGTCCTCGTTCTACGACCTCTTCCTATTCCTCATCTTCATTCTCCTCCTCTGAATCAATTTCCAGCAGCACTAGCAGTCCAATATCTCGTCATCTTACATCTCCTTCTGGCAGTTTAGCATTACGGACAGAGTCATTGAATCAAGCTGCCGACCAGGCTTGCCAGCGTCCTACGATTCAAGCCAAAGCCGCGATTTCTGACCCGGCGATAGCTTTGGCTGACACTGTAGATGTGACCTTTAGAGGCAACCCTTGCACTCGTAGGTCATCTGCCATCAAGCCGCAGTTACTTGCAGAACGAAGGAGTCCTCGTGAGGCAAGGCGCCGAGGGTACTTCGCTGCTAATATGCCTTCATCATGTAGTCTTAATCAGGTGGACGCTGGCATAG